CCAGAATTTTGCTATAGATTTGTTAATGTATATTGTGTCTGCCCGCCAGCCCGTCTTCCCTCCCTCCCTCCCTCCCCCCCTCCCTCCCTCCCCCCCTCCCTTCCTACCTTCCTTCCTTCCTTCCTCCTTTCCTTCCTTCCTTCTTTTTTGGACTCTTGCTCTGTCACTCATGCTGGAGTGCAGTGGCACAATCTCAACTCACTGCAACCTCCACCTCCTGGATTCGTGATTTTCCTGCATCAGGTAGCTGGGATGACAGGCATGTGCCACCATGCCTGGCTAATTTTTGTATTTTTAGTAGAGACAGGTTTTTGCCATGTTGGCCAGGCTAGTCTCAAACTCCTAAACTCAGGTGATCAGCCTCCCAAAGTGCTTTTTCTTTTCTTTTCTTTATTTTTTTTTTTGAAATGAAATCTCGCTCTGTCACCCAGGCTGCTTCAGTGGTATGATCTTGGCTCACTGCAACCTCTGCCTCCCAGGTTCAAGCAATTCTCCTGCCTCAGCCTCCCAAGTAGCTGGGATTACAGGTGTGCACCAACATGCCTGGCTAATTTTTTGTACTTTTAGTAGAAATGGATTTCACCATGTTAGCCAGGTTGGTCTCAAACTCCTGACCTCGAGTGATTCACCTGCCTCGGCCTCCCAAAGTCCTGGGGCCTTTTCTTAAACATCAGAACATCCATGGTCCTTCAGTTATGTATCGAAGAAGGGCAGGACCATCTTCTTCAAACTTAATTTGAAAAGTTAGCAGCCGGTCATGGTGGCTCACGCCTTTGGGAGGCCGAGGCAGGCGGATCATGAGGTCAGGAGTTCAAGACAAGCCTGGCCAGCATGGTGAAACCCCATCTCTACTACAAATACAAAAATTAGCTGGGCATGGTGGCACATGGCTATAATCCCAGCTACTCAGGAGGCTGAGACAGGAGAATTTCTTGAACCAGGCCCTAGGAGGTGGAGGTTGCAGTGAGCTGAGATCATGCCACTGCATTCCAGCCTGGGCTACAGAGTGAGACTCTGTCTCCAAAAAGAAAAGAAAAGTTAGCAGCACACTCCAGACCACTTGTAGTCTTTCATTAACTCACCTAAGGCATTTTTAGATTTACTCATATTTTCGACCCCTTCAAACTTTTAAAAATGATGGATTCCAGAAGGTTATTTATTTCCTGTATAGAATGGATAACTTAAAAATTATCTGACCTTGGTCCCCTTAAGCTTCTAGAGATTTTTTTTTTTAAAATAATGTATGAGTTCATTACAGGAAAGCATGCTCATGCCTTAAAATGCATTGACAAGCGGTGGATTTAAGACAGTTTCTGGAGAAATATAGTCTCTTCATTAACCTGAACCACATTAGTGTATGGAGATACATACATCAATTAAGTTCTTAAAGAATAAGAAAGGGAAATTTCAGAATGTGTATGTAATTTTCATTGAAAATACCTTCTTTTGAATTTTAAGTATTCATCATACTTTAAACATTAATATATATAATGTCATTTTATTAAGGTAGAAATATTTCAACATTTTTTACTCATACTATACTTTTCACCTGATATTTTTATCCTATTAACTAGCTATCAAAATACCATTTCTGAGCTGAGCAGCACTATTGCTTTTTTTATTAAAAAAAAGAAAAAAATGGAGTCTCTGTCGCCCAGCCTGGAGTGCAATGGAGCAATCTCGGCTCACTGCAACTTCCATCTCCTGGTTCAAATGATTCCCCTGCCTCAGGCTCCTGAGTAGCTGGGATTACAGGCCCTTGCCACTGTGCCCAGCTAATTTTTTGTATTTTAGTAAAGATGGGGTTTCACCATGTTGGCCAGGCTGGTCTCGAACTCCTGACTTCAAGCGATCCACCCACCTCAGCCTCCCAACGTTCTGGGATTACAGAACGTTGTCAGCCACCATGCCTGGCCCACAATGGCTTTTTATAAAATGCATAACTGGTTTATTAGGTTTCTGCAGAGAAACAGAACCATTACAATGTAACAGGGGATTTATTTGTGTTCCTGGCTCATGTGATTATGGAGGCTGAGAAGTCCCACAGTAGTTCACCTGTAAGCTGGAGAACCAGAGAAGTCCACACTGTAGCTCAGTCCAAGTCCAAAGGCCTGAGAACCAGACAAGCCAAGGGTAGAATTCTTGGTCTGTGGCCAAAAGCCTGAGAACCTGGGGGTCTACTGGTGTAAGTCCCAGATTCCAAAGGCTGGAGAACCTGGAGTTCTGATGTCCAGCGGCAGAAGAAGAAGGATATCCCAGCTCTGGAAGAGAGAGAATTTGCCTTTTCTTTGCCTTCTTGTTCTATCCAGGCCCTCAGCCAGTTGAATGGTGCCCACCTATATTGGGTGAGAGTGGATCCTCCTCAGTCAGTCCACTGATTTAAATGCCAATCTCTTCCAAAAACACTGTCACTGACACATCCAGAAATAATGCTTTACCAGCCATATGGTAAACTCAGCCAAGTTGATACCTGCATCACAAGCTGGGAGTGGTGGTGCACACCTGTAGTCCCAACTACTCAGGTGGCTGAGGTGGGAGAATCACTTGAGTCCAGCCTAAGCAACATAGCAAGACCCTGTTTCTAAATATTAAAAATAAAAAATTAACCATCACACTGCTGTTTAAAATATAACAATTTTATCTCCTTAACCACTATGCCTATATTTGAGGAAGCATGTTTAGATAACTAAGAATGTGGAAATCACAATTCAAAGAGGAGTGCTATCTTAGAAAAAGAAAACTCAGTTAAGACCAAAATTGTGAAACTAGTGATCAAATTCTTAATCATCCTTTAAAAAAATGCTTATTGAACACACTTTGTGCCCGGCATGTGCTAAGCACTAAAGATACAATGGTGAGTAAAGAAGAAGAAAAAATATAACTTAGGGCTGAGCGTGGTGACTCACACTTGTAATCTCAGCACTTTGGGAGCTGAGGTGGGTGGATCACAAGGTCTGGAGTTCAAGACCAACCTGGCTAACATGGTGAAACCCAGTCTCTACTAAAAATACAATAATTAGCCAGGCGTGGTGGCGTGTGCCTGTAATTCCAGCTACTCAGGAGGCTGAGGCAGGAGAATCGCTTGAACCCGGGAGGTGGAGGATGCAGTGAACTGAGACTGCACCACTGCACTCCAGCCTGGGAGACAGAGTGAGACTCTGTAGGAAAAAAAAAAAAAAAAAAACATGACACAGCTCCTGACTTTAGGGGGTTCACATTGATAACCAAGACCTAGATGTTCATTAAAGAATAAAAATGGAATGACTGAGAGTGATCCATGGTGCTACGAAGAGAGATCAAGAAAGTTCTTCTGAGAAGGCACCAATTTCACAGAGATATGAAAAAAGAATTAGGAGTTGGGTCAGTTAGGAGGACATGGGACTTTCCTTCAGGGTGACCAACATATGCAAAGAGGGCTGATAAGATTATAAATTGAAAGATAGGCTGTGTGATCAGGACACACAGGGCCATTGGAAGTGCAGATGACATAAGGCCGGAAGAATAGGTGGGGACTGCTGCCAGACCATTTATCCCCTTCTAGTCTGTGTCAGGGATTTTGATCTTTATCCCATGACCAATGGGAAGCCATAGAATAGGGGGAATGTTGTGACAGCTGATTTGAATTCTGAATTTTGAAAAGATCATTCTTGCTGCTGTGTGGAAAACTTACTAGAAAGCCCATTGTTATTGCTTTAAAGTCCACTTTGGTGATGGTGTGATGATTGCCTAAATATTATTCAAAAGTCTTCCATGCATTCCCTCAAATGGAGAGCTGCTTCTGCGTCACCTTGCCTTTTACAATGCACATGGGCACTTCCACACAGACCCTTGCCACAGAAAACCAAGCAAAATAAAATGCCTTTGTGCATTTAAAGTATTATGTTTGTAAGGCTAGTGCTCTGTTTTAATTATTGTTTGTGGAAGATAAAATATAAGAGTGTGGGCATGATGGCTCATGCCTGTAATCCCAGCACTTTGGGAGGCTGAGGTGGGCAGATTACCTGAGGTCAGGGGTTTGAGACCAGCCTGGCTAACATGGCAAAACCCTATCTCCACTTAAAAAAAAATACAAAAATTAGCTGGGCATGGTGGCACATGCCTGTAGTCCCAGCCACTGAGGAGGCTAAGGCAGGAGAATCTCTTGAACTCAGGAGGCGGAGGTTGCAGTGAGCTGACATCAAGCCACTGCACTCCAGCCTGGGTGACATAATGAGACTCTGTCTCAAAAAAGAAAAAAAATTATGTATATATGTATATCATAAAAACCTTACTCATTTTAACACACACATATACAACAAAACACAAACCCTGCGTCTACCTGTGTTTTCTTTTTCAGGCCCTCTACAAGGCTGACTTGGAGTGGTTGCGTGGCATTGGCTGGATGCCCCAAGGTTCTCCTGAAGTACTGAGAGTCAAAAATGCCCAGGAGATCCTTTGTGACAGTGTCTATCGGACGCCTGTGGTGAACCTTAAGTACACAAGCATTGTTGACACTCCTGAAGTGGTCCTCGCTAAAGCTAATGCTGAAAATATTAGTATAGTAAGTCAGTTTTTTTCTCTATTAAAATTGAATTCATGCTATAAATAAATGAGAAATGATAAACCTAGTAATCTATTATAGAAGAATAATAATGTTGTTAATAACATAAATTTTATTAATACTGATAGTATTGTCTTGGTTTGCTTATTAATTTTAAGTAAAAACTCAAAGTGTTAATAAAAGGGAATAATAGCTCTTACACCAAATCCGAGTAACTTATGTGAAAAGATTCCAGACATCTTTGCCCTAATATGAAAAGATTTTGGATCAGATCCGAAAGAAAATTTAAAAGTTGTGTACCGGGACTAGTGACATGAAAATTGTGAAGTAATTTTATTGTTATTTCTTTCCATAGCCAAAGTACAGAGAGCTTTGGGACAAGGATAAAACTTCAATCCACATAATGCCAGATACTCCTGAAATTAATCTCGCTAGAGCAAATGCTCTTAATGTGAGCAGTGTAAGTACCACAACAGACTCTCTTTCATTTGGAAAGTTACCCAGTCTGTGCTATACTATGACCATGGAACTCTGGATCACCAAGGGAGGGAAGATGGACTTGGTGGGATGGGGAAGACTCCTTGCAGTCAGCCCTTGACTAGGAGTGAGGCAAGGAGGAGATCCGTGGTGATTAACTGGGCAAGGCCAATTACTGGTGAGTCAATATCTCCATGACGAAGGTCTCCTGAGTTGTCTTTTTTTGAATAAGAGGACAAGAAGGTGAAAGAGGAATGAAGACATGCACAAACAAGAAAGGAGAATTAATGATAGACTCAGATAAACTCAAAATAATTATGAGAATTCTTTGCAAAAATATATGAATTAATTTTAAAATGTGGATCTATGGAGGTTTTCTAGAAAATTATAAGTGACAAAAATCGACCCAAGGAAACAAACCAAAAAACATATTGCAAGAAATTAAGAGGTTTCTTAATTGAGAAATTACGGAGAACATTTAAACACTTTTCTTCATACTTTCAAATGTCAGTGTCCCCTTGATGTTTTCAAAACTTCAATAAATAAATAAATTACCAGGAGCCTAGTGAAAGAAGAAAATCCATTGAAATTACCAAAACTTTACAAAGATAGAGCCACAAATTAAAAACTATAGACCGGCTGGGCATGGTGGCTCATGCCTATAATCTCAGCACTTCAAGAGGCCAAGGCCAGAGGATTGCTTGAGCCCAGGAGTTCAATACCAGCCTGGGCAACATGGGCAGACCCCATCTCTGCAAGAAAATAAAAAATAAATAAATTAGTTGGGCACAGTGACATGCACCTGTGGTCCCAGCTAGTTGGGGGCCTGAGGTGGGAAGATCACTTGAGCCCAGGAGGTAGAGGCTGCAGTGGGCCATAATCATGACACTGCATTCCAGCCTGGGTGACACAGCAAGACCCTGTCTCAAATAAATAAATAAATAAAATTTAAATTGTAGACCAGTAATTATGGGGGGTATCTTAAATAAAATATTAACAAATCAAATTCAGCATTACATTCAAATGATATGATAAAGTCAACTGGGGTTCATGCAGGAATGCCAAGAGGGCCCCATATTCAGAGACCTAATAGTGCCATAGAACGAGCAGGAAAAGCTCATTTTATTAAATTTAAATGGCATCTGACAAAATCCAATACCCACTCTTACTTTTTTAAATAAAATTTCAGTTAAGGAAGAATAAATAGTTTCTTGACATGACTGAAAAATAAACCTCAAATCAAACGCCCACTCAGTGAGCAAACTCTCATTCATATCAGGATTAAAACAAGGATGCCCCTAATGTCATCATTATTTAACATTTCCTGAAAGTTTTGGCCAAGTGAGTAAGCCTCTCATTGATGCTAATATAATTATTTAAGAGTAAGAACAGAAGATAAATATTGGAAAGAAAGAGGCCAAATTATCATTATTTGCAGAAGAAATCATTTAAGCCTTAAAATGGCAAGAGAATCAGCTGGGAAAAAAAAAAAAAGCCTTTTAGTACAAGTAGTTACATGGCTGGCTACACAATTCAAGAAAGTTCAAGGAAGATGCCATCTTCCTGGATCACAGAGGTTGCTTGTGTGTAGAATAGTGTGAACTCAGAAGGAGGATACCACCTTAGTGCAATTTGCCAAGGCTTGGAACTTTGCATTCTTTCAAAAGAATAAAAAGTCTTTCTGAGAGAAGGAGGCTACCAGCAAAGATTCCTCACCATGTGCCAAACAGCTCTATAAATTCTACTGTAATGAGCCACTTGGGGACCAATTTTTTCCAATGTTTAAGAAGAAAATACAATTTTAAGGCACTGATATATTTTCTCTTTTGGACCAGATCTTAATATCATGGTGCAGTGCATTCTTGTCAAGAGGCTGGATCAAGGGTTAGTCAGTTCTTCATGGCAGCATAGACTCCTCTTCCCACTCAATCCATAGGCATCTGTGGCAGGAGAAATCTGGAAAGTCTCATATGCTCCCTTGCATGATAAATTTCTCAGCTGAAAACACCAGAACCCTACCAGTGATATTATATGAGCAAGACCAATATTCAAAACTATGCTAAAAGTAAAATTATTAACTTTATTTAGATATTAATGAGAATGACTTCCATTTTGGAAGAAATCAAACAACCCATGTGAATGCTAACCAAACTGTAAAGACATTTTCTTTACACGTGTATCACCATTACTGCAATCTTGATTAAATCCACAATTTAAAACTGCTGCCATGATTTAGAAAGCACAATGTCAGCAGAATATTTGTTTTTGATTTTATGGGTAACAAAGCAAATTCATGATAAAATAACTGATTTAATCTTCACACCCACTATATGAGTCAGATATTGTTATTTTGTTTTTATCAGATCGTAAATAGAGATTTTTAAAAGTTAAGAAATTTTCCCATGTTCTCAAAGTTATTAGTAGCTGAAAAAAATTGGGTCTTAGGCCCAGCATTATTTGTTGTTGTTAGTTAATATATATATATACGTATGTATATAATGGCTGGGCATGGTGGCTCATGCGTATAATCCCAGCACTTTGGGAGTCCAGGGAGGGTGAATCACTTGAGACCAGAAGTTCAAGAGTCAAGTCCTTTGGCTTCAAAACTGTGCCCCTGTGATATTAATTTCACTTGAGCCATTGAAGGTATTGGTAAATTTGAATCTAGGATGATACCTTATTTTTCTCCTTTTCAGAAACTTTACCGTGAGGGCTGGGATGAAGTGAAGGCAGGCTGTGATGTCCGGCTGGATGCCATCCCCATCCAGGCTGCCAAGGCCTCCAGGGAGATTGCCAGTGACGTGAGTGGCCTTTTTTAACTTCTCAATTTTTTTTTTTTTTAGCCATTGCCCTAGGTATATCAAAAGGACATGCTGTGACCCATCTGCTTTATTTTTGCATCTCCAGTATAAATATAAGCTTGACCATGAGAAGCAGAAGGGACACTATGTGGGCACCCTCACAGCCAGGGATGACAACAAGATCCGCTGGGCCCTCATAGCTGACAAGCTCCAGAATGAACGAGAGTACCGGCTGGACTGGGCCAAATGGAAGGCCAAGATCCAAAGCCCTGCAGACATGCTTTCCATCCTGCACTCGAAAAATTCCCAGGCTCTGGTCAGTGATGTGGATTACCGCAATTACCTGCACCAGTGGACCTGCATGCCCGACCAGAATGATGTGATTCAGGCCAAGAAGGCCTACGAGCTGCAGAGCGACGTGAGTGGGCTGCATCTGGGGATAAATGAACTCTTTTCTCATTTGGCCATGACTCCCAGAGTATTTATGACACTAAACCCTCTGTCATCATTTTACAACTTTGTATCACCAAGAATTTAGTATTAGTGAGATCTTATAGTATGGTGCCAAAATCATCAAATTCAAGAAGGACCTAGACTTTATATCAGGAAAGTAACGGTAGTGTGAATACAGGTCTTAATTGTATCAGTTAAAGAAAACTGTGAAAATATTCTTTCTGTAGAATTTAGATAGTAATAGAGGCTTATAGCCAGTAAAATATTAGCAGCCCACGGACAGTCCATGGACAGGTTGTAGGCACAAGCATGCTTTTTTAATTGATACGTTTGAAATACATGCCTCTCAGGTTCAAGTGATTAAGTTGCCAAGTTTTTAAAATCCAAAAACTTTTGTGTACAAAATGTACATTTGGTACATTTCTCTTGAAAATTCAGACGACTCAGCTCTGAATTATCCTTTAGTAACAATAACCAGAACGGAATTGAGGATAACCCCCTTTAAATAAAAATATATGCGCTAGTTTGTCACACTGCCTGGCCACCTAGTTAATTTTCTTACATTACCTGTGTGGCTGCTTGAGTATGTCCTCCTTGGCTTATACAGCATTTACATTGTATTTTTCTTCATCAGACCAATGGGTAGGCTAACTAGGACCACATGACCAGGGTTGCTGAATTCATTCTGGCCTTGTTTTCACAGAATGTTTACAAGGCTGACTTGGAGTGGTTGCGTGGAATTGGGTGGTTGCCAAACGACTCTGTGTCCGTCAATCACGCCAAACATGCTGCAGACATCTTCAGTGAGGTATTCCAAGATTTTACCCTGACATTCAGTACACTTCCCAAGAAAGTGACAAAATACACAAACTAAAACGTAGTCATCTAATGTCAGCAATTTTAACCATTTCTATTGCTGTAATTTAAACCAGACATATATGTTTTTGAAAATGTACTGTCCCTATGACATTGTGGGACCACATCCATAATATAATATCCAGCATACTCACCAATACTTGGGATTGTATAAATGGAAAAATCCCTTTGTGAGCAATAGCAATATACTTGGGAAAAGACTGTTCCATTGGAAAAATGTATATTATGATACACATAATTATACATTATATAACTTTGAGAACTAAGCAAACTTCCTACTTTAAAATCTGTGGGAGGCTTAAGAAGCCAACACGTTTGTTTAAAAAATAAAATGCTAAAAAGAAAGCCAGATTCCCAAGAAGATGCCATTCAAATGTGGCACTGTATGTTTCTGGTAGAGAAAGACCCTAAATTTAGTGTGTGTTTCTCAGCTCACACACATCCAGGAATTACAACTATCTAAAAGATGCTTTCTTTCCCGTAGAAAAAATATCGTACCAAAATAGAAACTCTCAACTTTACTCCTGTGGATGACAGAGTTGATTATGTGACAGCAAAACAAAGTGGCGAGATCCTCGATGATGTAAGAATATTGCTGTTTGAAAATCTCACAATGATGCTTCCAAAGCTTTTCCATCTACTTACACTCAGCATGCGATCTTCTGAAATACGGATTTTAATCAATGACGTGATGTATGCTAACGATTGCTTGGACAACACAATGTTTTCTTACCAGCAAGTAACTTGCCCCCTTGCCTCTCATTTTTTTTTTTTTTAGATTAAATACCGAAAAGACTGGAATGCCACCAAATCAAAGTACACTCTCACAGAAACCCCCCTGCTGCACACGGCCCAGGAGGCTGCTAGGATACTGGATCAGGTATGGGTTTCACCCGGACGCCTAGTATTTGTGTAGGAGTGGAGGGCCTTAATAGAACTGTAGGATAATTATGCACACAACGTACCCCTCCCTTCTGACTTCTCATTTTAACCCTTTGTTGTCGCTCTGTCTTTCAGCATCTCTACAAGGAAGGCTGGGAGAGACAAAAAGCCACAGGTTACATTTTGCCTCCAGATGCTGTGCCATTCGTTCACGCCCATCACTCTGGTGACGTTCAGAGTGAGGTAATTTATCCTGATGGGAGTGCATTTTGCAAAAGTGGGACCTTGTTCACAGGGATTCTAGTTATGCTGAAGGCAGAGATAGTACCTTACAGGTGTCCAGTTTCAGTGTGGCAGAGCTGGCCAGGCTTGGTGATGGTTGGGGGACCTGCTCCTTACTGGTCCTTCTTCCATGAGCTTTAGGCTTTCTTCTTTCTTTACCCCTGCTTGGCTTCTTTAAAAGCAATTGTTCAGATTCTTCACTTTTTCTTATATTCTCTGCCTTCCCTAAAATCTTTAGGCCTTTGAATAAAAATCAACAATCAGAGAACAAGTGTATTTTTTTTCTATTTTTATTTATTTTTAAAAATTTATTTTTATTATTTTTAGGACTATCTCAATCTCAGCAAAATATTTTTCTATTTTTAAATAGCTGTGTCTTCACATGGATTTATTTGCTTTCTATTATTTGTTCTCAGGGTGGGGGGTGGGTGTCAAACAAAAAGCTTGGCGAGGGAGGGGGACGGAATTTGCTGATATCCCTGAGTAGATGGTCAAGCCCCCTCTGCCTTGTGTGCTTGTCAAAACTGATGGAATTTATATTGCTCTTCTCACCAGCTGAAATACAAAGCTGAGCACGTGAAGCAAAAAGGTCATTATGTTGGCGTCCCAACAATGAGAGATGATCCTAAGCTGGTTTGGTTTGAGCATGCAGGCCAGATTCAGAATGAGAGACTATACAAAGAGGACTATCACAAAACAAAGGCCAAAATCAATATACCTGCTGACATGGTGTCAGTCTTGGCTGCCAAGGAGGGGCAGAGCCTTGTCAGTGATATTGATTACCGTAATTACTTGCACCAATGGACGTGTCATCCTGACCAGAACGATGTTATTCAGGCAAGAAAGGCCTATGACCTACAGAGCGATGTAAGTGATTTTAGTTTCTTCATTATCTAGAAGTGCATGGTACATTCTAAGAATGATGAGCAACATCCCAGATCCACCAGTGCTTGAAATTTGAAGCCACAGATATTTAATTTATTCCTGAAGGGAATCGAGGCTGGATATGAAATAGAGAAAGATCAGGAGCAGTGACGGATTGATAGATTTGCCCACTGACTGCATTTCTGAATAACTTTCAATCAACTTTTTTTTAATCTGCTTTTGTACCATTTTGGCCATCAGCAACTCCTCACTTACATTCACATGGAAAAGTGTCAGCTGATTGAAAATAATAATTTACTTGAGTGGGAACCGAGAATGAGTTGAGGTTTTAACAATATTGGATGATAGCACAGTCAAAGACCTAAACATGCCCTATTCCTGCTTTGCTACGCATCTCATTCCTCAAGGCATTTATGAAGTTGTCCCCAAAGCAAAAGAGAAAATACTGATTAAGCTGCATGAGGACCCAGTATGCCTCATGCAGAGCTTTGGTAAAGCTAGGGTAGAGAATATGACATAAGCCACCTCCCACTGAAGCCTGAATCGAGATCGTGCTTGATTCAGGCCACCAGCCTTCTGTTTGTGTGGCACAGCAACT